TATTTTTTAAACATCGTTTAGTTATATCATTTTAATTTAGATTACGTTGCCAAATTAAGTTTGGGAGAATTTATTTTTAAAATTATTTCCACCCTAGTAGGTTATTACATTAAAAAAAAAATTAATTAATTTATAAATTAAATGTGAATATAGTACAAAGATTTGAAAATGATTGACCAAAATAATACTTTTAATCCTGATTTGTGATTAATTTGGTAATAAATTTGTTTAGCAAGAACTTAACAGCATGCCATTTACAAAATAAGTAATTATTTGTATAATGAAGTATTTATATGCCACACATGGTAATCCACCTGGTTGTTACTGTATGAAATTTTTTTATTCCCTACATCTAATTATGGGCATGTAAATCAAGAGTGAATAGTAAATTCATTTAGCTCGACTGTTCGTACCATTGTTGGGTATGAGTTTGGCCACTCCGACTTAAATTTCGGGTCAAAGGAGTTGTTGTCTATATGTTGCTTGTGAGCTGCCAAGTACCAGTCTCGCAACCGTACTCATCTTCGTATTAGAAGATCATCTTACCATGTGGTTGACATTCCATTCCCCTTAATCGTAGGTGCTTGTTCAATTTCGATTTGAATCGATGTACCGCTCATGAGTTCCTAAACTAAACAAACCTGGAGAGATACGAGTCATTACCCAACCCAACGAACAATGTTGATACAATTCTTATATTGATCTGGAATATATTCTCATACGAAATATTTATGTGTAAAATCCTCATCTCGCTGCTTGGTCATACTTTTGAAAAGATATCCTTAAATTGGACAATTGTTTTAACAACAATAACTTAGGTTTGTCGTATTTAATGTGATCATAACCGTTTGACTTTCAATTCAAACATTAAAGAATTCCATATTTCCATAATCTAAGGTTTGGTCAACATTTTATAAAAAGAACATGTTTTTAGTACCATGATAGACGACTATTTAACTTGTTCCTTATGTCTCATTCTCAAATTTAACGTTATTGAAATTATTAATAATAATAAAAAAAAAATCAAACTTTTAAAACTAAAAGCAAAGTCTAAGTATCTGGAAGATAAGATAGCTAATAAAAGTTTAAAAGAATTGATAGCTATACATATATAAAAATAAAGTTTTTTTTTTTTTTTTTTTACTCTTCAAAATTTTTCTAAGAATATGTGAATAAAGACAAAATATATTAAAAAAAACTCGTGTTAGTATGTAAAGATAGTTTTCACTTAGACATGTAAATGGTGGTATCCTATACAATAAATTTATATTAGATTGGATCATGAAATTTTTAATTTCTTTATAAGTTTGTTATTGAGAAGATTAATATTTCACAAAATGATCATATGTGACTTGATCTTAATCTTGAGTGAGTTATAAACTCCTATATGTGAAGGCTTAACGACTATTTCGTTTGACCTAATGTGAATCTCACTCTGATGAAAGCAATCTTGATGTGAATTCCATAAGAAGGTAGGAATTATTTTTAAATAAAATCAAAGTCAATTCTCATGGTGACTCGAACTTTGGTATCTTACCAAGGATGAAACGCTAATGACCATGCAACTGTTAACGCATTGCAGCGATCAGTGCTACATAAAAAAAAGCTACTGATAACACTGATGCATTGAACATGGTCGGGACAAACCAAGGTTTGTAGCGACTAAAGAAATACGCTCGATTCAGCTCGACCTTGCATAGCTCATTGCTCCAAAGGTGGTTGAAGAAAAAGAAACCCAGACGGCGACCACCAACATGCAGAGAGAGAGAGGCGTTCGTACGATGGAGGAGACCTCCCTTTGACGATGCTATTTAATGCATCTGAATTTTTGTTTTAAACTTTGACTTGGTCAAACTCCCATTATGATATGCTCAAACATTTTGTGTACCTTCATAAGAACATTATGATATAAAAATTTAGTATAAGCTTGGTTGGAATACAAAATGAAATAATTGAATAAAATATAGAAAGAGATAACATTATGTATATATTTATTTCATATGGTAATGTGGTGCCTCCAAATTGGCAGCATCTTAAATTCCAACTTAGTGGTCCAATCCTAAAAACACTTGCCCTTGTCTCAATGGATCATGTTGGTTTCTTGCCCTCTTTCTTTGAAACCTTTGTCTCAACCCCCCATACCCCATTACTTTTGTCTCTACACATATATGCAACACCCGAATAAAAAAAATATATATATATACATAAATGAACCGAAACCACATCTACATGAAAGAAATTACAAAGATAGAAGGACTAAGAAATACATTTAAAAAAATTAAAAGTCTACCTATACTGATATTCAAATATCAGTTGTCTAATTAATATTGTGTTAAATTAGTTATTCATTTATGATTCGAATCTATCTAAATTCAATTATTATATCCATTAAATAATAGGTAAAGGAGAAAGAATCATCATTTTATTTATTTTATATACACAAAATGGCCTCATTATTATTCTAATGTTTTGTAAATAATCAGGATGGATGCCTAGCTCCATTATTGATTTTTTTTTTCCTCTTATATTAAAGAATGAAAAAGAAAGAAAAACCAATCACGAATTGCCACCTGTATTTCATTAAAACGACATGTTTCAATGGAGATGAGAATTTTTGGTGGCCATTCGAGTCAACACGGCTTTGATTTATTTATTTTTTTCATTTCAAATTCTTACCGAATAAAAGATATACTAATTATTATCGTAGAAGTCAATTGTTATTGTAAAAGTCAATAATTTAATTTCTTGTTTTTATATCGTATGAACTTTTTGTTATTTTGTTCGTTTAGAATATTTTTAGGAATATAACCCTTAATTCTTCAATATTTTAAAAAATCATTTATTAGCTATAGAAATGAAGAAGAAAAAAATCAAATGTTTTAAAAATAAATTATTTATAGAAGGATAACAGTTAAGAAAGTACTTGAATATATTCTCAAAAAAAAAGAAAAAAATCTATTATAATATATATATTTTGAAAAATTATCAAAAGTCAAAATAGAGGTATCAGAACAATTATTTAAATTCACCCAAAAAATTAGATAAGGTAAAAAAAAAAAAAAAAAAAAAAAAAAAAAAAAAAAAAAAAAAAAAAAAAAAAAAAAAAA